CCTCCTTCTTGGGGGTCCTGTCCCTTTCCGCTTTGCAGCCGGCAGTCTTCAGGCTCGTGATGGCGCCTGCGCCGCCTTGCCTTTGTCTGCCCGTGCAGCAAGACTGGTTAGTTCGTCTCGTGGCGTTCCCATCGAGCTGCCCGACCTTTCTGACGTAGATTGTCAGCAGAGACCATTCTTCGACGATTCTGAGTGGATTGCTGAGCTGTCCGACTCGCTGCCATTCAGGGAGCTGCTGAAGTATTGGTGTGTGCGGCAGAATCACATTAACTAACGTCCAGGGGAAGCTTGCGCTTCGTAAGTACCTGTGCAAGGGTTCTCCTTGGTCCAGCAGTCCAGCCCTTGGCCATGTCCTCAACACTGCTCTGCTTTATGTGCTGGGCGGCTGTCTGTGTCCCGGAGGCTTGCGTGTGTACTCTAGCTCCAATCGCAGTGACGGGCCCTCTTGCGATCGCTCAGTTGATCCTCCCTCTAAGCCACTTCCTCGGTGGTTTGAAGACCTGTGTGCGGGTGACATTTACTGTGTCGACGTTTGTGTGTCTTCTGCAGCCGTGCCCTTGTTGGCTATACGTGCTTCTGCTTGGGGGTCATCGAGCGAAATCCTGGAAATCCTTTGCCCCACTGACTCAACTTGACATCAGGCTTTGCAGCGTCCGCCCGGCGTAAGATGCACAAAAGCTTGGAAGCTTTCTCACGATGGCTTGTCCATGAGCTGGGCATTTCCTTTGCCCAAGCGATGTGCTCGTCTGAAGCTTCAGACACGTCTCTCCGCGTGGCTACGGGCCTCATTTGCACGGAGCAGGCCTCCCACGCTACCTTCTCGTCTATGCAATCACCGCCGCGCAAGACTTTTTTTCTTGCCGGAAGTCTCTTATGCCTGCCTGGCAGATTAATAAGTGGCAGCGTGCAGAACTGTTATGTCTCAGCCCATCCTACAAGCCGTCCTTAGTTTAGGGTTGCTTTGGGGCTGTCTAGATTGGGTTGCTTATGCCGCTCAGTAGACGCTGTGTCTGCTTTCGCTCAAATGTACTCAGTTTGCTTCTGTCCGGAGCTGGTTCTTGGCCTCAACTCAATCAGGGCGAATCACCCTTATTGCGTTTATCGGCATGCTGCGTGCGGCAGAGTTCATCATACGCGCACGTCGGGGCCTGATCTTGCCTTCAGATGCCATGTCTCGTGACCGCGTAGCCTATATGCACATCCATAACCCTAAAACTGCGCGCTTCGCCAGGCGCCAACACGCGCGCCTCGATGATGCTGCTTCGCTCGAAATCCCTGAAGCCAGGTATACTCACCTGCCCCGCTCCATACCGTAGGCAATGGAAATAATTCCATCATGCACCATCTTGACATGCCGCACTCGCAGGCAGCCCGGGGCAACGCCGGATGTGTTGTGGCTTGGGGGCCACGTTTCTTCATCTCGAAACTGAGGGTGTGCAACTCGTGGCATGGCGGGGGAGATGCAGCAAGATCAAGTTTGAGTTCCACCTCCAAGAGGTAGCAGCTCAGCTGCTTCTTCAGCAATTGTCACCTGCAGCCCGCGCTCGCATTTCCATCCTGCGCAGCTATACCCTGCGGCTCGTTGCGGCCTTCCCGGCTCCTGACTGCTTGCATACGCAAATTGTGGTTGTGCCAAGAATACTAACGGATGCGTGTACTCCACCGCCTGCCGCCCGTGTTCCTTGCACTCGTGCGGTCTCGGCCTACAGGCTAAAACGCCTGCGCCTCGACACTGTGGTAGTTTTTTCGTGCGCGGACGAAAAGAGGCTGCTGGGATGGTAATGAGGGTCCCATGGTATGACGCGAACACGCAGCGAAGTTGATGTGGTAGAAGAGGAAGCAGTTCGAAAACCTTCTCATTTCTTCCACGAACGCTCGTTTTGAAGTACCTGTACACATCCATGCCGAGTCCTTCAGTTGTACACGGTTGAATCAACCTCGCACGATGACATCCTTGACTAAGCCTACGAGGCTTCATGTTAGGCTTCATTTCTGGCACCCAGATTGACCATGTGCACACGATGACTGTAGAAGTAAGCAGCGGAGGCTTTTCCTTATTTCACGCATTATTAAGCAAAAAGGTGCAAAGAATATGGACTTCAGTTCAAACCTTTTGCTGCAGAATTTTGATTTCGAAACAATGAACGCAATTTTGTGCCCGTGGTCAACGCGCATGTTCGTGCATGCTTCACAACATCGGGGTGAAACATTCGGGCTCGAGAAATGCGAGCTGATGCGAAAGATTTCGAGCAGTATCCGTTATTGCTGCAGTGTGCCAACAAAAGTTCTTTGCTCGAGGCATGGAGATGCGTAGGGCAGCCAGAACAAACAGCATGTCCCCATTTTTTTACCGCACACGGGGATGCTCGCATTTTCTTTGCCTTGCCATTTGCAAGGGTTGACTGCTGGCCCTTTGGCAAGGGTTCATCTTGGTCGTGTCAGTGCGGAAACCGAGCTATCAACATGGTCTTCGTTCGTGCGTTGTCTGGTATGTGCATGCAGCGTATTGCCAATACCCTTGCTTGCAATAACTTTGTCAATGCGGTCCGTCGTGTTGGAGGATTGTTGTGTACCAGATGACCAAGATGTATCTGACTTTGCGACCGTGCCGCTATCTTGGGCGCTGGTGTGTCTCTTTGGCAGTGACATGGCTCTGTTTTAGATCCTGGCAAGGCCATGTTCCCAGTGGATGGAGGGCACTGTTTTACAAGTTGCCAGCTATGGTGACGTGCACGGGCATTTTCAGCTACAGCATTGATTCAACAAATCGCCTTGCAGGTATATACGTCAATGTTCCGCATCCTGGAGGCAAATCTGGCGAGGGCTAAAAGGGTTCAGCACCGCTTGGGTAGTTGCATTCCAGGATCTTTGCAACCCTTTGAGTTTGCAAGAGGTGTACACTAATCGAGCATTTGTGATAAGTAAGTTGCACAGGCGGACCAGATCGGTGGGGCATTGTCAGGACCTCAATTCTCGAGTAGTAGGAGCTCATCTTCCGAACTGCATTCATTGAAAGGTCCATAGATCCGAGCTGTCAAACGGCATGTTAGCCCTACAGCCTGGAGCCAAACTCAACGACGTCGCCTTACCTCTCAGGCTTCATTCTTGCGCAATCGCCAATCACAAAGCAGTGGGGTATGTCAGGTCAAAGTGAAATTTGTTGATGTGGCGGCAAATCGGCCGCGGCCTCATTGCCGTGCGGAAATTTGAGAGCTCTGGGTGACCAATCAGGTTGCATCTATCCACAATGTCCGCAGATGCGTGGCTTCACGGAGAAGTTGAGGAGGCATGGCTGGCCTGGCTTTGGAGAAGCAAGGTTCAGCGTCAACGCAAGCCAGGTCCAGAAGTATGGCTTGATTGTACGGGTTGGAAGTGGCCGGGGCTTGGTGTATGTCACCGAGATGAATCACTATCTAGAGGACATCTCTGCACCTCTCTGAGTGCTGACTATGTTGGCTGGTCCAGGAGCCGGCGACAGTGTTTGTACTGGTCTCAAGCTGGTTGGCAGGTTGCAACACCCTAGCTTTGACAGCTGAGGCCGTCGGGCAGCTCGTGAACGTAAGGGTGATCGGTGAGATGGAAGAAGGCAAGGAAGGCTATTGCTCACAGACAGGGAAGAAAGCACAGATTCAGAGGCCTACTCGCACTTACCATGAAGGCTGCCACAGATGAGGCCAGTGAATGCGTTGCACATGCATGTTGGACTCTCTATCGGAATGTTTTCTGGAATAGCTCGCGCTGACTACGGAGTCTGCTGACTTCTTGTTCCCTAGCTCGTTGAGGTGGCTGCCGACCAAGATGAACACAATGCTCCGGCAGATGCAGAGGCGAAGCCTCTGCCCTGTGCACTCAGCCAGCTGAGAATGAAGTCCTGCGTCACAGGACAGGGATGCACAAGATCTTCAGATCCGAGTCGTCTGCTGAGCCGCAATTCCGCATGTGCACATCGGCAAGAATGGCCAGCAGACAGGCGCTTCGGAATCGCCTCAAGGACTTCCTGGGAGTCTCTCCTGATGTTGATCTCTCTGCAGAGGCCAACGCAGTTGATCATGGATTGTTGACGCTTGCAAGACTACCGCTAGCATGTATTCTGGGCTGCGACAAAAATCTCCCACGTTTAAGATCTGTGGCGCTCCTCCCTACACCAACCTGCGGTTGTGTTTGAAAGTAGGTGTCCAGCGAAGTATGGTATTTTTTTGGCTAGGTGCAAGGAGGAACCCCGTTTGGAACCATGCTGAGTGTACACCATCCAGACGGTGGGATACAGCCTCAGCCTGTTCGATGCAATCAGTGGCAACCCTCGTGCAGCCTTCGAGGTCTCCCGCAACTGCGATATTAACGGATTCGTTTGAAGCCATCAGGACGAGCATGGCGCAAGCCACTGACACTAGAAGTTTTCAGGGCCTTACCCGGGCAAGGACTGGTGACCGACTCCGAGTACGCGTAGTGTCGGTCCGATCCCAACGCACTGCAAGCACGAGCTGTGCGTGCCTCGGAGCAAGCTTGATTCCAGTTTCGCGCGCAAGTGGCCCGAGGTCGACACGCATCGAGGTGTGCTGACTGTTACAAGCCAACGAAGCTGAAAAGACTTGTCTGCTAATGTGTCTTGAGATGGCCAGCTTTTGCATAGCATTCACGGTTCTGGATGCTGCGTATCCTTGGTCATTCTGACAAGACTACTGACAATCTTGACGCCATGCTATAAGACTTCACAGGGTAAGCATGTCTGAGCAGTATTATTACTAAGCCATCACTTGCGAGCATGGGTTCGGCGCGCAGAGCAGAGAAGTCTTCGGAGCGGCGCTGCTATGTTCTGTACTCATCTCAAGATCATAGGGACTGGGTCCACTGGGTGATCCGGCGCGCAGCCGGAGCAAACAGGCTCTCCTGCTCTTGCATCGTGACTGTCATCCTTTGCAGAAGATAAGAGGACAAACTACTAGCGCAAACTATAAACTCTGAATTCAACCTCTTCATAATTGCTTTTCCTTTCTGAGGCCATGGAGGCCACTCAGCCAGTCGGAGAAAATAGTCCAAGTTCAGATGGCGGACGAGGGCGACTGGCGGTCCTGTCCTTTGCTGTTCTGCTCTTGCCTTGGTTGAAGATCTTGGTTCCCAGAAGGTTCGGCGACCAGCTCCGGTCACTGTACCACCTCGCAGGCAACGAGAGCAGGCACGGTTGTTTTGTGAAGACTTGTTGGTCAGGGGGCGTCAAAGACAGAAGTAGTAAAAAGTGCAAAGCCTGCTCCGCAGAACAGGCGCCAAGATCACCAAGCCATGCTGGCCGCATGATGTCACAGAACAGCGTGTCATTGAGCTGATCACCCGCATTTATTTACGTAAGAGGTTAGAAGACTAGGCATGACGGTATTTTAATCTCGGTTCAGCGTTATTTTGAGAATTAGATAGGGAGCAGATCGAGCGAGATGGGCCAGAGTTTCCTTGGCAGTAAGAGCCCAGTGCATATTCAAACATGCTGAACGAGTTCATGTGAGTTTGTCAATGTAAGCTCCAGATCAAACACAAAGCCAACGATATGAGAGGCTGCGGCTTCAACTTGCTGCATGAGACCCAGGTCACAAATAACAGTTGCCGCTCAGCTGTCGCACGGTACCGCCGTTCGCGCGGAGAGCTGCCTCCATCGGCGGCGATTGTCTGATTTGATGTCCTGAGTTTGTTTGGAGGCAGATGCTTGCCTAGCCAAGCAGCAATGGTACTGAATGGGGTCGGGAAATGGACCCTGAAACAGGATCCGCTCTAACGGATCCTGTTTGGCATACCTACTGGGATCACTAGAGTCACTAGAGCGACCCAAACGGATCCGCAGCCGGCCGTGACGACTGCGCACCCCCGCGAACTGAAATGCTACGAACTGTACCCCACCCCGATTTTAGCTACTCCCCACTGTGATCCCAACACACCAAGCGCCCAAACTCAAATGAATAAGGTTTTGGCGTTGTTTGGGTTCCAGCTGTTGGGTTGTTTTTTGGGGTCGTTCAGGATTCTTTTTTTGTTGGTAGGTCTAGGGTTCGGGCTTGTCTGTGATCTCAGTTTTGGGCTTGTTCAGGGCTTTGGATTGTTTGGGAGTTAGAGTTTCAGCTTGCTCGGTTTCAGCTAGTTTAGAGTCCCGGGTATGTAAGTTGAGAGTCTGGGGTTATTTCACTAACGGTTTGTATTTGCTTGGGCGGGTTCATGGTTTGGGGGTGTTGAAGGTCTAGGGTGTGGGGTTATTTAGGACTCCGGGCTTGGGGCTTCCATGTATGCTTGTACGTCTTCCCTGTGCAAATATCCTATCCCTCTTTTCGCACCAGCAGAGACTACGTTGTGCTGGGGTCATGTGATTGTGGCCACGGTGGTTACTGCATGTAACGGAGTTTTCGGAGGGGTGTTGAGGTCTTGAGGGATTGTGAGGGTATCTTCTCCACAGGTAGGGCTGGGACAAGGTTGTCTCGAAGATATGAATTCAACTAGCCGGTGATAGAAGGTTGCCTCCAATGGCTTTCACCAGAGAGATTCATAACAGAAAAAACATTCGGACATGGAAAAAGTCACCCTACTATGAGAAGGGAGAGGTGGAGGCACGAATATCCTCGAACGGGGTCCCCGGCTCACGTACCGAAAAGATGGAGCGAGAAACTCGAAAGGCCTACTGCTGTAGAAAGGAGAGGTGAAGGCACGGATACCCTCGAGCGGGGTCCCCGGCTCACACACCTTAAAGGATGGAATGATCAATTCGCATGGCCAACGTCTGCGTAAGAGAAGGAACTGCTCGAATACTGTTATGTAAAGTGTGGTCTGGACGGGCGTGCCGTCCATGCTTCTGGAGCCTGCCAGTCTTGCAGCAATGCCGTTTTGGTGTGCTTGAGTTTCATGCCATACATACTCGCGAGGCGAAATAGCCCCGTCAGGAAGGAATGTAACTGAGGGAAGCAGCTGACGTTAGGGGGGTGCGCGTACACTAGGTTGTAGGTAGGGACGCCTGTAGTCCAGGCATCGCGGTGGGGACTCCTGAACACGTAATGTATTCTTTAAATCATGCAGGGTTCTGCTGCCGCCTCATTTAATATGCTTTTTCCATGCACAATTGTTAATGTTCGCTGCTAAATTGTCAATACGTGACGGAGCAGGTACAGTATCGAATCACTTCAGGGCAAGGATAATGAATGTGGGTGGTGAGGTGCAGGAGTCGAGGCCATGAAGTGGCAGAGTGTTCTTAGGCACAAACAAACCACGGGACCGTCTACGCTGGTTTCCATTCCAAACTTCTCTGAAATCTACTCCCCAGCAAGTTTCCAGACAACACAGCGTCTCTTACGCACATCGGCAAACTTCCGAGCGGTCCGAGCACTTTCCGAGCACTTACGCTGCCAGCCTCGTTGACGGTGATTGTAGTTATGACGATGGCAATACTAGTGATGATCATCACGGTGACTACTACTTGACCCAGTTCCCTCAGGGTCCAAGGACCCAAATAACAGGGCTTTAGGGCCCAAATGCCATTAATAGTAGAATATTTGAGCTCTAACACCCTATTACTTGGGTCCTTGGACCCTTAGGGGTTGTTGAAATTCGTCTGAACTGGTGCGCATGAGACTTGTTCGCATGTTTCCTGCCTGGTCCATTATCGGCAGAGTAATGAGTGCTGACTGGCAGGTTGAACCGGTCGTCTCGCCTCCGAGCACAGTCAGCGTTGACAGCCCCGACTCACCAGATAGTATGGGGCCGAATTCTCCTTCCAGTGTGGGCCTCATTCAAGCTTGTTTGCTGAGCATGTAAGCTTAAGTGCAGTGGCCGAAGGAATTGTCGTGAGGAACACCTTCATCGATGTGTGTGACGAATTCGCATCAGGTGAGGTGATATCTCTATGTTTTTATATGTATATACATATATGTATTTATATCATGCATACGTATATATACACGGACGTTTGCCACTCACTCTGCGGTCAGCTTCAGATTGCGTCTTCGCTCCAGGTTCTGATCAGCCTGACTCCCCGCACCGCGGCAACAGCGCACCCGCATCCCCAACGCAGCGAGCAGATCCATGGGCGAGATCCTCGGAACCAGCCCGCACTATGCAGTGAGTTTGACAGCTTCCAAGGACAACGTGGATCTCGGAGAAGGTTTCCATTCCCTCATCTCATCTTAGTCTTAGCCTGGTGGGTGGGCACATTTCAGGGCAACCTGCAATTTGCCAGGTCAGGAAGCGGGACCTTTTGGAGCGGCAGGAGCTCGTTCGACTTGCCTAGGGTAAAGGCTCTGAATTCCCATTGCTGGCGCTCAGGATTTCTGGGAAAAGCTCCGAATCCGGAGGCACCTTGCGCGGCTTGTAGTTTGCTGGTAGTGGAACGGAAGGAATGCTCTTTCCAATTGTGTGACTTAGATGCGGTCGGAGCCCCTATTCGGAAAGTTCTTGAAAGTAAGTTTCGGCTGACTCATCTGCTTGCCCTGTGAGCTGGGAAGATACCTACTTTTGAAAAAGCGGACCCATTGTCGGCATGCAATTCGGCTTAAAATCCGATCTTGTAAAGAGCCACCACCAACACTTTAATGCACATATGGACAATGCCACAGGCATCGGCACAGTTTTCAGTGTGAGCACCTCCCAAAAGCACCCACCCTGAAGCAAGTCTGCCAACTCCAGAACTTCTACTTGTTCAGGACCTGGAGCACTATGTTCATTTTGGGACTGCGCAGGCTTGATCATTGGCAGGCTGATTGTGATTCCGAGTTCTGCAACCCGAGCCCAGCAGTGCAAGGATGGACGCTGGCTACGTGACCTGGCCTCCCCAAAGAAAGTATCCGCTCGTCCTCGCAAGACACATGGCCATCAAACGGTTCAGGAGCACGTGGAAAATCATAGGCATGAATGTAGTACATGAACAAGACGTCCAACAGCCAAGGAAAGGAGCAGGTGCAGAAGCAGAGGCCAAACTTGCAACCTTGATTTGACAAGCAATCGTGCTGATCTTTGGCAGGGCACTTCTTCCATGCGGCTTGGTGATCTCCTAAAACTGGGCATTCCAGGACCGAGTTAAGCTCTAGCAGCTCCGTTTTGTCAAAACGTTGTTGGCAGGTCAGCCAGTCGATAAAGATGATGGAGACAATGAGCTGGAGAAGCAGATGCAACAGCTTCGAGCGCAACAAGACCAGCTGCTGCGTTGAGCCTGAGACACTTTCCCTTTGTGCCGTAAATTCTTGCTCTCTTGCATACCTTCCTGAACAAGTGACAAAGGCTCCCAGCTTCAACCTGTCCTGGAGGGCCAAATGCAACCTGATATTCCTGGAGCGTGCCTGGTCCCCTGCAGGATGCGTGAACTTGGCACATTTGACTGGTGGTAGTCGCTGCAGCTGCAAGGCTTGAACGGCCTTGGAGTACCGCCAGCTCCAGCTGTAAGTTCCACCTCTGGGGTTTGGCCAGGCTTGGCCTGCCTTTCCTGTCGTATTAGACCTTGATATCTATGCTGAATTCACGGTTCGAAAGATTACGTTCAGGCTCTACTTATGGATCTTGCAGTCCTGTCATTCAAGTTCAGGGAGTGCCGTGGGCGACAAGGATCCTTTATCTCGGTGTCCGTGAAATTGTGACCAGTTGTGTAGAGATGTCCACAAGGGAGAACATGTTCCGGGTGCGAACCATGAGTCACGGGCATTTTTTCTTGGGTTACTGCAACCAAAACAATTATTCAAAAATGGACCTCTTGCCAGAGTCTGCTATCTCGGTGGGTTGTCTTGTTGTGAGTTCATTATTATGTGTTTTTGTGGGTTGTTTGAGTTTTGGCCTTCGCCGGATATCTGCGAGGTTCCGTGGAGACAATCATGTCAACCTCAAGGTAAACCCCACCTTATCTCCTCCTCTTCTGCCCCCTTCTGTGCTGGAAAATCTCCCAACTCCCCCTTGCTCTGAACTTTTCTCTGCACGCAGGGGTCCCCCACCCCACGCGCCGCATCCAAAATTCTGTCTTTGAAGCCTTCTAAACGTCGTTCTTCCGCCTTCTCCCACCCCATCTTCCCCCCCACCTCAACCTGGCCCTCCTTGACCTTGGCCTCCTGCTCGAGCCGTGCTGAGACGTTCAGTGACCCCGCTTTCCCAGCAAAACTGCGCAGGCGCCGGCGTTCTGAGCATTATCGGGACTCATAACCACATGAAGAATAACCCTGAGTTGACTGCAACAAAGAACTTTAGAGCCGTCTCTCCAAAACCTCTTGCTTTGTGCTTGTAGCATCGAGAACTAATCTCACGTCAGAATCTTACCTGGTCAAAAAGGTCCGTATTGCAACCTACCTGAAACAGAAGATAGGGAACAGTGACTCTTGAGGCCCAGTCCACTAGAACGGCGGGTTCCGGGGAGTGGGTAAATGTTTTCCCTATAACCTTTACGGCCTGAAACCTGGGCGGGTAAGTCCCCGTCGAATCCGCATCAATTTCAGAGGGCATGATTTAAAATCATCACGGATTATGCCTGCTACTTAAACCACCGAGACCCACACTAAATTAGGTCCCGCCATTCAACCCCACCGCCTCCCCTCAACTTTTGATGCCATTCACATATTGTTGAGGCAAACCTGGCGCAAGTATCACCAGGGTTGTGTGCATCGCCTCTTTCTTATGCAGAAAGAAGAGCCGCTGTGAAGGCCTGCTCCTGTGGTGTTTACGAAAGCCTTTGCCATCCTCTTTGGCATTCTTCTGCATTACTTCTGTCTACTGAATCATGCATGGGAGAAGGACGAGTTGGAAAGAGAGGACTTGGGGTGGCTGCGTACCTGAGCCGAGGGGGAAATGCTGAAGCAACAAAGAACAACAGACATCATGTGATTCCTGTTCCTTTTGGCTCCAGCCCGACATCGGGTCCGTTTTTTTGGCAGCGGTGTGGCTCGGGCCTGGTGTGGCTCCGGTCCAGAGGTCCTGTGGTCCTCATGGTCCCATGGTCCTCTGGCCCCGTGGTCCTCTCTAGTCCGGTGGTCCCCTGGTCCTTTTTGAGATAGTCCCAGACCAGCAAATGCTGTAATTTAAAGCATTTTAGCGTTCCAAAACCAGCAGATATTGTAGTTTGCAGCACTGGCCACTTTCCAAGACCAGCAAATGGCGTAATTCACAGCACTTGAAGCCTTCCAAGACCAGCAAATGCTGTAATTTGCAGCATTTCAGATGTTCTAAGACCAGCAAATGCTGTAATTTACAGCGTTTCAGGCGTTCCAATGTGGCGCAGTCCTGCTGGTCATTTGGTCTTCTGGTCCCCTGGTCCTCTGGTCCGGTAGTCAGCTGCCGGTTTTCTGGTCTTTGGTCCCGTGGTCCGGTCGTTCCCATCACCAGGTCATCATGCATCTGCAAAGCGGGGGTAGGCATCAAACAAAGTTTTTTAGCATCAGAAACCTTGACAAGCGCCAAAAAATGCTAAATGAGCGTAAACGCCGCCCGCTCCCAGGACCTAGGCAGTTCCAGTCCTCTGGTCCCCTGGCCCTCGGGTCCGGTGCTCCTCTGGTCGTGTGGTCCTCTTGACCTGTGGTCCTCTGCTCCTCCGGTCATGTGATCCTCTGATACCGTGAACCTGTGGTTCTCTGGTGCTATGGTCCTACATTTTGCACCACTTAGAAATCTCAGACTGCGGCAATGTCCCATTTTTGTGGTATACAAGATGTTGTACGACTTCCTTCCGTTCCGACTCGTCCTGGCAGCATTTGTGGGTCGGATTGGGGCAGCAGCCTCTTCTATTGCCAAAGATGGACGGCTGGATACAAGCAATTGGGAAGAATGGGCCTTAGCCCTTATCCTTAGATCCCGAATTATAGCCCCTAAAGCCACTCTCTCATTCCCTAGTAAACCAGGGTGTAAGCCTAAACCCCAAACTGGCCATAGTTGCTTTTAGACCCTCTGATCCTGTTGAATTTTGAAGTGTGTGTCAGCAGTCACAGGGCTCGTGGGGCTCGGGGTCGCGGTCCTCGTAATTGTTTCTTCCTTCTTAGACCCTCGGATCCCCTTGGATTTTGAAACATGTCAACAGTCACAAGGATCGTGGGCGTCAGGGTCGCGATCCTGGTAACTGTCGGCGCTGTTACGCTTGGAGAGCCTCTTCGGCCATCCATGCGTCCAATAAAAACACAATGTCATCACCATGTTTGCAGGAAAGGAAAGTTGTGCGGATCATTTTGTTTGCAAATGGGGGGGAGGCGGCGACCCCCCCCAACTCCCCTGCTGCTTTCAAATCACCCATGCCTCCAGTAGAAACATCATGTCATCACCATGGTTTGAAGTAGAAGAAAGCCGTGTGGATCGTTTTGTTTGCAAATGGGGGGGGGCTGCACACCCCCAACCCCCCCGCTGTTTTAAACCCATCCATGCTTGCAATACAAAGGCAGCATCACGTCATCACCATGTTTGAAGGAAAGGAAAGTTGTGCGGATCATTTTGTTTGCAAATGAGGGGGGCTATGCCCCCCACCCCTCCCGCTGTTTTAGATGTTTGCAATACAAGTGAGGGAAAGTTGTGCCGACCATTTTGTTTGCAAATGGCAGTTTTAAGACCGCCCTTGCATGCAACATCAAAGAAGTATGATGCCATCACCAAGTTTGCAGTAAGGGAAAGTTGTGCGGCTTACTTGGTTCGCGCCTGATATTTTCAGAATATATGGTAAACCCTGTTCCTACTGTAAAGAGAATGGATCTTGAAACTAGATCCTGTAGAATCTTCAACGATATGGTGATTCTTTTTCAGGTCCATGCTTCCGTATCAACCAGCAAGTAAGCTGGAAACATCAAGCCCGCACCTAAGCTTTATTCGTACCCCCAATTCCAAACGTCCATTCTTTTAGCAGGCCACTCGTTGAAGGAGTGGAACGTTGCGAGGCAAGCATATGCTGTAAACTACAGCATGTAAAACTTGAAGCATTCCAGAACCAGCAGAAACTGTACTTTACAACGTTTGATGCGTTCCAAGACCAGCAAGTGCTGTAATTTGCAGAAGTTGCTATGTTCCAAGACCAGCAAACGCTGTAAATTACAGCTTGTGAACCATTCCAAGACCAGCAGATCCTGTAATATGTGTAATTGCTGTGATTTGAAACGCTCCAAGACCAGCATATGCTGTAAATCACAGCATGTCAAGCTCTCCAAGACCAGCAGACGTTGTCATTACAGCGTTTGAAATATTCCAAGACCAGCAGATATTGTAATTTACATCATTCGAAGCGTTCCAAGACCACGAACGCTATGGTTTACAGCATTTGAAGCGTTCCAAAACCAGCAAATGCTGTAACTTGCAACATTGAGATGTTCCCAGACCATCAAATTTGAGACGCTCCAAGACCAGCAAATGCTGTAATGCAGCATTCGAAGCATTCCAAGACCAGCAAATGGCGTAATTTGCGGCATTTGACACGCTCCAAGACCAGCGAAGCGGTAATTTACAGCATTTATAGCGTTCGAAGTTTAAAAAGGAGAGAGCCGCACTATTGAAAAAAGAAGAAGCTCGAGCCACACCTTTGCAAAAACCAAACCCTCGGCCCCCCACATCTTTAAGCCTGGCTACTGTTGTCGAAGAAGGGGCCAGAAAGCTGCCACCACAGACAAGGAGTTGAAGGTTCAGAGGCGACTGCAGTTGCAAGGGAGGCGACACTGAGAAGCCTGAACCCTATGATCACTGACTCTTTTGCCAGTGGGGACATGCCATGTGTGGTCGCCCTCGACACGGTTGCCACGCCACTGTGCACGCTTGCAACCGCATGTGACCTGTTGCGAGTACTGTCCGAGGCAAATTCCTCGTTCCAGACTCCCAACTCCTGCATATAAGAACCCCTCACTTCGCATTTAGTGCGAAGGAGCAAAACCCTAAAGACTTGCGCATTTTGCGGCAGCCTGCAGAGGATCGGGCTACAGAGGCGCACTGCCAGGCCAGCCGCTGCTTCCGAATATGGAGGTGCGAGGGAGAGACCTGCCAAGATGTGTTTCATGAACACACGTGCGGTGCAGGTGCCCCTAGCCCCTTCGATTCATCCCAGTTCAGGAGGTACTTTTCATGGTTCCTGTGTGGTTGCTAAAGTCCAGCCCCCTGTCTTCTGCTGCAGGCCCACAACTCCCACGAGATCTCGATGGTGATTCTCTTGGCACCAGAATGCTCTTCCCATCACAGGATGTATGTCAGTGAAACCTGACTTTTTTTTAGGTGGGTGTGGTGGATTTCCGGGCCAATTGCCAGGCCTCCAGATCTAGAGAATTTGGAGCATAAGTCACTTACTTCGGACCGTGAAACCTACTTTGGACCGTGAAAGTCATTGTCAGTAGCGGCGCCTAGTCCTGATCGCCCGGGATGATCATGTGGCAGGCTTCCTGCAGCAGGCCAACACCTTCGTGGGGCAGGCGCGCAAAATTCAAGTTGGCTAGTTTATACATGGTGTGCCATATGACTCACGGCAGGATGCAGGATCTCGAATTCCACCGCACCAGGAGCCGGCCTTCGTATGCTTGTGTGTGGGCTTCTTGAAGTATCATTGAAGCCTTGGAGTGAAGGACGCCGGATCACGTGTTCCGCCGCAACAGGTTGTCAAATCAGAATGGCTTCACGTGCAACAATGTGCGAAAAAAGTCTGAAGGTGCTTTGGTCGCAAGGTCTTGACACACCTTATGCTGGAGGCAAAGAACTGAAATCTAGAGAGCACATGTGCAGCTCTCCGCGTTCAGGTGTCGATTGGCGCAACGGCCCGTGCATCCCGCGAAATTGTATCAAGCACATCTTTGTACACGGGCCATGCAACTCAGCAGGTTCAATCTGGCTTCGAGCAACTTCGCAGGCGGCTTGATGGCAGCGACTCGCCTGGTACGTTGGTGTTGCTGCATCACATGCAGAAGCACCCACCAGATTCCACGAGTCACGAACGCAATCAGGCTGGAGGCATGCTCCTGGCACAGGGCATTTCATCACTTCAGCAGCAACAGCTGCAGTTGCAGCAGCAGCAGGATGGTGGCTTGCTAGTTGATAGTCAGTCAGCCGAGTTCAGTGAAGCACTGCAGGAGCAGCTAGAGCGTCTCCGGCAATCGATCGATCCGCAGCCGCCTTGCAAGCCTGAGGGTACTGCATTCCCTCGGAGGCATGTCTGAGACCAAGGCAAATGCAACTACAGGCTCAGGCCATGGTGCTTAAGACACAGATTCCAGAGCTGATCAGATGGGAGCCATCCACCAGGCTGCAGCATCCTTCATGCAGCCCGCAGGGTCTGGATCTCAAAGCAGCGACACTTTTCACCTGAGGGTGCCACGCAAAAAGGTGCGGCCAAGTCGACCCTGCTCTGCGAGGCTCAAAGCAAGATGGAGACATTTCAAGGTACGCAAGATGTCCTGAGAGCATGTCAGACAGGCAACCGCCAACTTCCCATGAAGAAAGGAGGCCTTCCTCGCACCAATTGGCACTGTGCGTTGGTTGCTTGCGAAAGCCTCGTGGTTTGATGAGGTGGCAGGACTGTGAATGCAGGCCGAGGCCAGTGTTGCAAAGCTTGCCGAAGTGGCTCGTATGACATTCATGACGCATCTCCAGGAGGCAAAAGGATGATGGAAGAAGAAGCAATACTGGCAGGCTGAAGAAACAAAGCGTGATGAACTTCGTGTGAGTTGCAGCCATACATTTTCTGAATGTGGAGGCCGCAAGCAAATTTTTGAGCAGAACATGGGAGGACCCTGTGAGATCGCTCCATGCAAGGTGCAGTTGTGTGTGGTGACGTTTCAGGAATGTTGCCAGTGGATGTGCAATCAGGAATGACGGGGCCCCAGGAACATGCTGTCGAATGCCGCAGCTTCTCACTTTGCCCTTTCTTTCTTTCTTTTTTTCAAGGCTGCCTGGTGCCAAGGCTCGCGGGTTGTTCCTTTGTGCTGCTGCATACATGCAAAACGCCAAGCTCCCCATTGCCAGGAGAAGGCAAAAGTACCCCTGAGTGGGGGTGGGCCAAAGCGAACCGACTACATCAAGAAGCGCTTCCCTAAGATGCACTTTGCCAAATTGCTGGCTATGGACACGCTGAATTTCCAGGTTTGGAGGCGCCAATGACAGCATGGAAGGAGTTCCTACCACTCAGCCCATTACGTTGCATCCTGGGACAAGATGTTGATGTGGCCTGCAAGTCTAGAACAATCTTAAACGGACCTAAGGACAATGATGTTAAAGAACATCCCATGCCGCAAGAGCCAAGAGGAGGCGAGGTTTTCATTTGCATTTTGTTATTTGTTTGTTAGCTGCACCTTTGTCGCAAGGTCATGCTGACCATCGACGAGGAGGGCTTCGGGGGAAGGCAATCAAATCAGAGCTGCATGTGCTAATTGCTTTGTAGATGCGGCATTCTGCTTTGGGCATTTGTGCTCAGCGCGTTCTCGATGCTCAGGTATGACTTCTTCTATTTACCCAGGGATGTGAAGTTCCGAGCCAACCTTGGCTATGCTTTCATCAACTTCGTCACTCCAGAGGTCTGGCTGGAGTCAGTGGTGGACTTATGTGCCATAGTATGCCAAAGTAGCAAGATATGCACCAGGAGTTGGTGAATAGGGGGATGCTGCTGCGTGGAGATGTATGGATGGTCTGAACAGAAGACTGGGGCAGCCTAGAGGGATGGAGGATCGAGAACATCTGCATGCTCACCCTCCTCACCCCCTCCGGCGAACCTCGCAATAGTTCCAAGGTCGGGATGCGTGCCCAGGTCTATACGTCGCCATCCTGACAGCTGGCACATCAACAGCCTCATTTGTTGGATCTTTCAAGGTTGAAAAAGTATTGAAGCCCCACAGGACGCTGCTTGTTGTTCTGACTGATGGATGCTTGGCTTGATGGGCTGTGCGAACCTTCCTGCCAAAAAATGGGAATTGGCCTTGGGGACGGGCTTTCGGGTTCGCACAGTTCGCACACAACAAAGCTGGGAGATGTCGGGAGTGCATGGGAGTGCTGGTTTCTTCTTCCAGATTTTGTCAGGACTCAATCGCGCATGGATTGCTAGTTCTGCGCTGGCATCCGCAGCATCCCCCTTGCTTCACGCCTTTGCTGGTGTTCGACCCTACGCGGCTCGGTGGACGTGGGGAAACGTGTCAAGCCTGGCGCCTACTGCAGAGCATTGAACAAGACTGTCTAGCTCCACAAACAGCAATCCAGGACAGGATTGTCCCTTAGATCCTTTGGGACTAAAGGAAACGGAATAGTTGTTGCACGAGCTAGCGCGCGGTCAACCTGAGCCGGCAGACTCGCAGTAGGTAGATGCGATGGGAGCTTTCGTGCGCATCTTGATCAGGCATAGGTTGACCTTGCCGATAATTCAGAGGTGTGGCTGTTGGCTGCAGCAGAACAGCAGAGCCACCCCTTAATGAAGCATGGGCGGGCGATTGGTCACATCTGGCTCAGATCGGAAACATACTTGGTTTTGAGAAGCCACGCGTGTCATTTCCATTCAGCCAGAAATAATGGTCCAGCGCTGCAGCTCTAGCAAAAGCATACAGAAAGAGGTGACTGCGTGACTAAGTATCATAGAAGAGTAGACAGTGCGTGCGCTTTCCAACTCGATAGTCGCAGGGCCAGGTCATCACATGCACACTGCGGTCTGAAATGTATTGCCATTTTGGATCATAGTCTGGCTAGACTGGGCTTTGTAGCCACGGGATCCTGGAATCCTGGCCCTGGGATTCTCGGATCTGACTGTTTTTGTGCTGTGTTTTGCTGAATCTGCCATGGCTGGCAAGTCCCCCTTGCCGCCTGGAGGTTACGAGTACTTGGGCGTAATCGAGGCTTGTGGACGCTGATGACATGGGCCTTCATTGTGGACCGCATCGCAAAGGTGACCAAGTGGAAACCATAGAAGATCAAAACTAGTAACTAGCGGTGTGATTGCATGCCTTCGTATGGCGCCCAAATTGGATCTGCTTGAAAACGACGAGCTCCTGACTTGGATGGCGGAGACACCTGACTATCTTGTGGAGATCCGACGCCTGGATGATGCACAGGTGGAGCTCATGAAGGCAGCCCAGTCAACTGGAGCTTCTTCAGAGGGGGTGCGTTGCGCTGGTGAGAAGGACATCATCATGGTGGAGTCCGGAGAGAGCGCGCATGCTGCAGGTGCCGATCCTCCCATGGCAGGGGGGGGCAACGGACGGTCGACCAACAATGATGGAGGAGGCCCTCGCAGATGCAGCTTCCGTTGGCTTCGCTTTGGCTCCGGCCACTACGTAAATGGCAACTTCAGCGCAGGCACCCTCAAATGCTACCACACCACGGGAGCAGGAGTTGCCAGGCCAGTGAACCCCCCGTGGACAGCTTTGAGGTTTTTGTCAGTGAGCACCACGGACCATTCCAAGACGAGCATTGAGGATTACACTTGGGTCGAGCATCCTGATGTGGAGCTCCTCATGAGCAGTTCAGGTCGGGCGCGCAACCCATGGCCACTCTTGAGACCTTGGAGGACAAGGATGCGATGCTGCGCTGGGCTGTGGTCGACTTGTTTAGCAAGGCGCACGTATGGTGGCTGGCAGTTTGCCGCTTTCACGGAAGCAGCGACACTGAGATGTGGTCTGTCAGGGGACTGCCGCTTAAAGGAGAGGTGTTGTCCCGTTGGAATGCTGCTTTGCTTAGGGAGGAGGGAGCAAAGATCCTGAGCAATGTTGACGCTACCAACATGCAGTTCCACGTGAACACCAACCAGTGCATTAGCGGCCTCATCCACATGAAGGACAACTTGAATTTCGCAGGGGCGGCCGGCTGGTTTTCTCTCTCCCCAAGCCCAGGTGACTTTGCAGTCGCTGAAGCACAGAGGCGAGCTCTTGTGCGTGGAGGCGATAAAAGGCCTCTACAGGCTAGTCAAGCTGGATGGCGCCCGGCCGTGTCTTTCGGTCTTGTGGAATATAGAGATCGATCACCACGGAGTAGTGGAGAAACGCTGAATGTGGGACGTTCTTCTGTGAGCGACGCAGGGTGTCCATCCTTTATCTTGAGCTTTCCGAACACTTCTTCAGATATTCTATCAGGTTTGCGAAGCCTTCGAAGTCTTCATCAGCGCTGCCAGTGTGGGAGTGGCCGGGCCTCCTCGCACTGGTAGCAGAGCCTACAGCTTCGCTACCGCATTTTCGGACACTGCGGAAAGGTGGCCATGCTGGTTCCGGAGGCGATGATGAGACCAATCTCCCGTGGAACGCCGTACTTCGCTTCATCCCGAGGATAACGGATGTGAGAGAGTGTGGCAAGAAGTTAGAGTTCCTTGCCTCTATTTGGTGCTCTTCTTTGCAAAGGAACAGCGTTCAAGAAGATTGCATGCTTGGCGCACGACAAGCTCAATGCTTTGGATACGTCAGGTGTGAAGCTGATAGTGACGACCCTGGGTGGAGCTTGGGGACAGACCGTCCTTAAAGCAAAGTACGAGCAGTTTGAGAAGGCAATCTATGGCACAAGCCAGCGCAATGCCGAGACCAATGACAGCTATCTCGTTCGTCGTGATGTGAATTTTGAGGAACTCGTCCATCAGTAGGTGACGCTGGAGGCAATCCGGGCCTACGTCCTCCTGAGACAGTCCCAGTCCCGGCTTTCTTCTAAGCGCAAGAAGAAGATGTGATGGAGCACGGTGGCAAGTTTGACTATGCCCAAGTCTGCGCTGCCGTTAGATTGCTGGGCTCTTGATTCTTTGGAAATTTCTCAGAGCAAAACCAGGAGTGACCCGCAACCGAACGTACAACGTGAATTTCCTCGAGGAGGAGAACCCACCCATCAAAGAGTCTTCAGGAGCGGGAGCCTTTACAGCTCAGGCATCCAGCTCCACGGATGATGTGGACCTGGACCTTGATCCGGAGTTCGTTGAGGCTCTGGTTGCTGCACAAGACGCACATGCTTTACAGGTCTCATCCTTCGAATCGGCATTGGGATAGTTCTTCTTTTCGCGATCAGCAAAGGGGGTTTGGCCAGCAGGTGGTAGCAAAGGCAAAGACGACCGCGCACCCACTCGTAGTATTGCCGGTCGAGGCGAAACGGGCAAACACTTCTCGGAACTGAGCATTCTTGTGTTTGGCCCCCAATGTGATCACATCCTTGCCCCGCACCAGGAGCTCTTGTTGGGTCAGATCGTCCGAAGGCACGTCGATGAGACAACGAACTGGCAGCAAAGTTCTGCCAGTTTCCGGATTCGGCTGAGCAAGATGTTGGGCGCTGGAATTTCCTCCGCTTTCCCTTTCGACTGGAGGTCGATTCTCTGCAACATGTCGCGTTGGCACTGAAGCTCGGCATGGAGCTCCGAAACCAAAGATGGACATCTATGGGAATTGCCCTCTTGGGCGAGAAGGAATAGGACCTTGATGTGATGAGTCAGCAGCGCCAAGATCTGAGTGGCATCATGGTCGCAGCAGGCTGCACAGTCAGGTGTTCACTTGGCAAGGCGCGGGCTGATGCGCGGTTTGTGATCAACAGGCGTGGCTGTTGTCGCACAGGCGCTTTCCACTGATTGGGATTCACGCTTGGAATTAAGGATATTCTGTACGTCCCTTACATTCATAAAATTTATCTCGGTCTTCGGGGTAACTATGGGGCTTCGAATTAAGTGACGTTGACTTATCCACGACAAGTCTTACCTGGTCACTTGCATTTGGGCTTGGGAGGGAACCTCACAAGGATGGGGAAACATGGCGCGTCCGGCCTTGTCTGATGTGGGACACACGCGGGCCACGTAGCCCGGCGCTGTTGGTTTCCAACTGAAACACGTGGTAAAGCCTTTCCGGCTTACGCGTGTCATTACGAGCATCGATCACTCCACCTAGACTCTTCAGGGCACGCTTGGACAGAAAGAATGGAGTTTTTCCTGGCGCAACTTCAACCCCTAACCAGACACGTCTACTCTTGCAGGCTCGTAATGGTAATAGGATATTTCGCTGGCTCGTCAAGGTGGAATTGTTGCCAAAGCGAAATGGGGGAATCCGGCTCAAAAGCCGCGCAACAAAGCTACTTCCCAAAACGCACCGAGAAGCTCCCGTGTCAAGTGTGGCCAGAATTTGGCCATAATGGGCTTATCCTCCTCAACCATACTAAGAGTTAGAGAGGTCCCTGAAAAATAGTTTCGGTGCTGGAACTGCTGTTCTCTAACTGCTGTTGCCTAACACAGATCGCTCACCGGGACTTTGAAACGTCCGGCTCCAGGTCCTACGTGGGTTTTGATAGGGCAGCCCTTTGGGATAAACAGATTTAGGGCTTAGGGTTGTGGAAGATGCGGTTCAGGCCTTGGGTTTTTCACACGGCGCATAAATTGCTCCGCCGGCAGCGGCGGCCAACACGGACAGCTGACGGTCCTGTGACGAAATCTCTGACGCAGCGACCTAGGCCCTAGGCTTCATAAACCCGCTAAACTTCAAAGGGTTATTGGGGGCTTTCGTTTGAGATTTTCGTCTCAGGAATCTGTCTTCACAAATGCCGTTTCAGGACACGCTGGGATCACACCCAGCTTAGTGGAAAAAGG